GCGGGCGTTGTCGGAATCAACTTCACGGAGACACGAAACGCTGGAAACATGCACATTAATGCTTTTGTTCCAGTCGTCTGCCCATAATAAGCAGAACGGACGGTGTCGGAATCTGCTTCACCGATACGTAGGACGCTGGAAACATGCACATCAATAGGTTCATTCAAGTCGTCTGCACCAAATAAGCGGAGCAGACGGTGTCAGGATCTGTTTCACCGAGACGTGGAACGCTTGAAATCTGCACATTAATGATTTCAATCCAGTCGTCTGCCCCAAATAAGCGGAGCGGACGGTGTCAGAATCTGCTTCACCGAGACGTAAAACACTGGAAACATGCACATAAATGATTTTGTTTCAGTAGACTGCCCTCAAATAGGGGGAGCGGATGATGTCGGGATCTGCTTCACCGAGACGCGAGACACTGCACATCAATGCACATCAACATGCACATCAATGGGTTCGCTCTAATCGTCTTCACCACGAAAGCGGAGCAAACTGTAGGCGGTGTTGGGGTGTGCTTCACGGAGACACAGAACGCTGGAAACATGCACATTATAGGTTTTGTTGCAGTCTGCCCACGAATAGGGGGAGCAGATGGTGTCGGGATCTGCTTCACCGGGACGTGAAATGCTGGAAACATGCACATTAATAAATTTGTTCCAGTCGTCTGCCCCAAATAAGTAAAGCGGACAGTGTCAAGAACTGCTTCACTGAGATTCGGAAGACTAGAACATGCACATGAATATTGTTGTTCCAGTCATCTGCCCCAAATAATGGAGCGGACGGTGTCTGGATCTGCTTCACCGTGACGTGGAACGCTGGAAACATGCACATCAATGGTTTCCTTCCTGTCATATGCATCAATAAAGTGGAGCATCCTGCGGGCGGTCTCGGGATCTGCTTCACGGAGACACGAAACGCTGGAAACATGCATATTAATGGTTTCGTTCCAGTTGTCTGCCCATAAGTGGAATGGACGGTCTCAGGATCTGCTTCACCAATACGTAAAATGCTAGAAACATGCACATCAAAAGGTTCGTTCCAGTCCTCTGCACCAAATAATCGGAGCGAACGGTGTCAGCATCTGTTTCACCGAGACGTCGAACGCTGCAAACATGCACATTATGATTTCGTTCCAGTCGTCTGCCCCAAATAACTGGAGCGGACGGTGTCAGAATCTGCTTCACCATGACGTGAAACGTTGGAAACATGCACATCAATGGTTTCGTTCCAATTGTCTTCAACAAGAAAGTGGAGGCGGACGATGTCAGGATCTGCTTCATTGAGACGTGAAACACTGGGAACATGCACATCAGTGGGTTCCTTCCAGTCGTCTGGGCCAAGGAAGCGAAGCATCCTGCAGGTGGTGTTGGGATCGGCTTCACCGAGATGTGGAACACTGGAAACATGCACATTAATGGTTTTGTTCTAGTCATCTGCCCCAAATAAGCTGGAGCGGACAGTGTCGGGATGTGCTTTACCGGGACGTGGATCACTGGAAACATGCACATCAATGGGTTCATTCCAGTCATCTGGACCAAGGAAGCGAAGCATACTGCGGGCGGTGTCGGGATCTGCTTCACGGAGACACGAAACGCTAGAAACATTCACATTAATGGTTTCGTTCCAGTCATCTGCCTCAAATTAGCAGAGCTGACGGTGTCGGCATATGCTTCACCGATACGCGGAACAGTGGATACATCCACATCAATGGGTTCTTTCCAGTCGTCTGCCCCAAATAATGGAGCGGATGGTGTCTGGATCTGCTTCACCGAGACTTGGAACGCTGGAAACATGCACATCGATGGGTTCTTTCCAGTAACCTGCACCAAAGAAGCGGAGTGTCCTTCGGGCAGTGTCGGGATCTACATCAAGCTATCTGATGTGACAGAACATGTCCCGTTGCTGATAACCAGCCAGAGCCATAACAGGGAGCACGCCGCTCTGAAGCTCTCATCTGAGATAGCAGATGGGGCATGTGCTTAGCAACGAACTTGTCGGATGAAGATGTCACCAAGTATATTGAGAAGGCAATCCATCGACACAGGATTGAGTTCAAACACAGTCCCTTCGTACTCATCAGAGACCTGAACGTTGACACCACGCAAAGCGATTGGCTAGTGCAACACATGTCAAGTTATACTCTCCAATGCGTATCATGCGACTACAAACGTCCCACTACCACCAGGGGCACCTATATGTTGTTTTTTGGAACTTTCTTTTGCATCCCATCATCACCGATTCCTTGACAACATACTTTAGTGATCATAAAGTATTATCCTTTAAAAGGAAATGAGTCCACAGCTCATTCAAGAACACCCTTTGTACTTTATGATGATGAATAGTGGGGTTTTATGGGGCAAGAGTTAAGGGTGACCAAAACCACCCTAGGCCTTTGGTGTATATATAATGTATATAGTGCATATGCATCATAAAGCAATCGCCTTTGAAAGGAAATGATTCTTAAACTTTGTAAAAGAACATATGTCTCGAGTATATGAAAAGCATATAGTTTATCAAAATGCATTTCCCAAAAGAACATATCTTTTAAGTACATGGAATATGTATCAAATGTACATCAAAATGCATACAAATGTAAATGAATATATACATTACATACACACCATTGTGTATGTAATGTATAAAAAATTATGTCATGTCTATATATGATGGTAGAAGACGTGTATAGGGGGTTGGGGGAATTAACCGATCATCTCTGAGCAAGCTCCTCAAACATCATTCACTTTGTGGATATGGCGGTGATTTTTTGGGGGGGGGGGGGGGGGGGGCAAAGCTCTTTAGGACTGCACTCTGTCGTCGCCACCGTTGCCGGCGTTGCCGGCGATGCTCCCCGCACCGGGCAAGCGTGCTGAGCAAAACAACAGGTGCGCGCTTGCGAGGTAAAAACGGCTCAGTTCTTCATGCTGCTGAGCACAGCAGACTTTTTTCCCACACGCTCTCCACTCTACTGCATTTTTTCTTAGGGGGGAGGGGGGAATTGACGTCCTGATTCCCGTCCTCCGCAGCCATCCTTGGTGGTGGCCGCGAAGGACGGAGCAGTTTCGGCGACGGAGATGGTGGTGGACGTGGTGGCTGTAGAGACCGTGGTGGCGATCGTGGCGGCCGAGGTGGCTTCGACAACGCTTCGTGGAATACCAGCCCGGTGAACGTGTTTGGGTGTGGACGCCGATATGCCGACGTGGACCAAGTGAAAAGCTTCTGCGACGGTACTTCGGACCGTACAAAGTGGTTCGACGTCTCGGCCTACATAATTACGAGGTTGTCCCCGACGGCATCACGAACTCTCAACGACGCCGATCGCGACCTGAAGTCGTTCATGTCGCGCACCTCAAACCGTTTCATGCACGTTAACAAACTGAAACAGTGTTTTTTTGTATTATTGTTGTATCGTAATTTATTCATTGTACTTTCTTGCATTATTGTTGTACCTTCATCTTTAGTTAAAGCATCGGGACGATGCCTTTCTTTAGAGGGGGGCAATGCCACGTTCCATTTCCCAAGTTTTTGTTATCGTCCCAAAATACCACACGATTCTCAGCACAAACCGCGCCTGCAGTTTTCGAGAAGGTTCCGGACTGTAGTAGATCATTTTGATAAGATCACGCCCACTGTGCGAACGGTACAGATTTTTCTGGAACCTACGCCACCGCCAGCGATAAAGCTAGAACATTCGACGGCAACAGTATAAATGCCGACGCGCTTTGCCGCTTGTCAGTAGTTGATCGACGGCCAACGCTCCGTTCGCCGCTATCAGTCCAAGACTGCTACTGTAATTGGACTTTGCTCCGTTCGCCGCTATCAGTCCAAGACTGCTACTGTAATTGGACTTTCCGTTTACTGGGCACAGGTTCGCCCAAATAAACAGTTAAATTCCAACACAAAGTCTCCTGTCTTCGGCCACGTCTCGACTCCGTGACAATATGATTATGTGAGACATGTTTATGTGAGATTATGTGAGACATGACAGGTTAGGTTAGGTTAGGTTAGGTTAGGTTAGAGACGCCGTAGTGAGAGACGCCGTAGGCACCTACTGCGTTCATGAAAGCAGCAGCGACATCAGGGGCATAGTCATTCGTGTCGTTTCTAAGGGAGCTTGCTGGTTGTATTTGTACACAGAACTGCTAGTTTGCTGAAAATCAAACGCATAGTTCGAACACAAATGTATTTTATTAAATGTAACGCAATGCCAGAACATGAACGAAGATGTATTCATGAGTGAATGAAGTTGTATTATGTGTGCAAACAAATTTGTATTTCATTCACTGATGTTACCCCTCTGCTCTAACGACTTTAGATGCTATCTGATGGTTAAGAATTCATCATATCTTAAATGTTAAAGTGCAAAAATTGACGTGGACAGGATGGAACACAAAATGATAGGACAGAGTGCTATTCAGTATTTACAATAATGGCAAAAAAGATTATTAGTTATGCTTTCATTCACCTGCTGGCAAGACAGGCAATACTGGTGTATTGCACATGCATTACAAGGTTACCTGGTAGAATGCCTTCCCCAACAAAAACACAGCTAGTTCCCGAGTTCTGTGCATCTGCCCCAGTCTCATGTTTCATGGTTATGCTGGCATTCCATCAAGTGAAATAAACCAAATGGCCCAGATAACTCTTCTGTATGATTGACAGTATTATGCAAGCTAATTGCGAAGGCATTGAATCATGTGTCCTGCAATTTTTTCACAATTGGGCTTAAATGCGGTTTACAGAGAATGCATGCAACACCGCAGTATCGCTTATTTCCGAAGTGGCAGAAGTAGACGTTGACCATAGGCGTTCACACCGTGGGAGGGGGGAGCTCTATCTTGCAAGTCTCTTCCATACACTCACTTAGTCGGACCCATAAGTGAGTACAGGGTTCACCTTTGAAGGGAAGGTTCATTGCAGCACCCCTCCCTTGTAATAGGCTTCATGCCCCCCCTTCCCGTATTAGGTGACTAGGAGCGATTTCATTAAAAAGCTTTGACTCTGAATAACTGTAACTTTATTGAATTTTCACACTGCAAGTGACGCAAGCTGCAGTGGCAGGCTTTTGCACTCACACTTCACCCTTTTCATCAGTCCTGTCGCTCTAGACGAGGCAAACGTGTTTAACAACAACAGAGTCGCTAAACAAGCCATTTACGTTGAGCAAGACGACGGCATGCAGACACGTTTCACACATACTTGAAAATGCATCTGTATAGCACGGAGACTTGGGCAAGATTACGGGGGCATCCTTTGAGCTGCTGCGAAACTTCATACATTGTCCATCGTACGAAACGCACTGTAGTTCAATTTGGTCGGTTGGCAACTTGGTCACACGTGCTCCCGCTGTAAGAGGACACTACACAACACATGGCAAGCATGTTAGACGCAATGCGGAGCCTGCGTTAGCAGTTCTTTCTCAGGTTGGGCCATTTTTCTTCACTGAAAGCGCGATTATTACAGTGCAAAAACAGGAGCAACAGGCAGCCAGAACTTCAGAAAGAAAGGTACTTGAAACACACACTCCATTGTACTTCATACAACTTTTACACATACTTCAGACTCGCAACATGCAAACTAAGCATGTTGTAGAATGTTACGACTTATGGTTTCACTGAAGCTTTTCAACAAAATTAGTTTAGAAACTGGCTCCCAGCTGTGAGCATGTATCCAAAACAGAACAGACAAGATTCTGCACAGTATGTACCGCTCAACCTGGCAATACAAGAACAAAAAATAACGCAACATAAGCGCTGAACATAACTTGTGTTTTCTCTTGTTGCCATCTGTCCCTTTCAAACTACAAGATGCAATACCACCTAACCCAGTGATGCACCCATTTGCTGTTGCATTCTAGCCATGCAACTGCAAAATTAACAGCATTAAAGATCTATACTTGAAGTTTCAAGACTACAACTATATGACTAGTATAAGTCAGCTCTTCCAGCATTAAGGTTCCACAGGGTACAACATTGTGTTGCATTCCAGCATAGTTTCTGGGCCAACAGCAGGTAAAGAGAACTTGAACTGCTCAGTGCGCACTCCCCAAGAAATTGCAAACCGTTCCTCTGGCTTCTTATGACACAAAGGCATATCAGCGTGCACGAGCAGAAAATGACAGTTCATACATGTGCTGCTGTAGGATGATGAAGATTTTTTAAAATGCAAAATACGAGAACACACATGAAAAAAATAAATAAAAACTGGGTTGACTTAAGGTTCACAGGACTCAATCACAGAAGGCCACCATGGAAGCACAAACACAGTGCTGGATGGATTGTCAAAGCTAGAGTAGCCTATTAAAAAGTTGTCACATTCATGAGCAGGCACAAGGCCCCTTAGTTCCAGCCACCCGCACTGTGTGTTACAGGGATGCTGTAAGGAGCGAATTCGAGGGTGACTTCTGCCAATTGCTGTCAAGAGTTCCTAGCAGCCAGAAAAGCCTCGAGGAATTGGCTGCGTGCGTCTCTCACTTGGAACCGTGCATCAAGCTGCTCTCCCCCTTTGAAGCTAATTCTCACACCAAAACCACACTTTCTGAACTCGTCTACGGATGTCACTGATGCTGGCCAATACTCGGGGAGCTCAACGTCCACCACGGGCGATGCAACGTTCCACGTCCTCTGCACTCGAAACGGCTGAACTGTGTTGAATACATCCTCGACCACTAGCACTATATCTTTGCGCACCACAAGAGCATAGTGCAACGTTCCCGCATCAATGCCGTTTGAGAGTATGCGTCCGCAAAACCGAACATCGCCAACAGTCAACGTTCCCGCAGCAACATGTTCCACATGCTGTGGCGAGAACTTGTCCCGGCACTCCAGGCCAAAAGTGGCGGCAAACTGGCGCGTCAGGTAATCGGCGTCCTCGGCCGAAGCGGGCATCAAGATGGTACAGGCTACTCTGGACTGCAACTCTGTTCGTAGCTCAATGTAGCTTCGATGCGGTCCCCTGAGAAGACACTCTACCTGTGAAGGTGCAATCGTTGTACACAGTCCAAAGTGTGGCACCACCGCACCACTGCTACCTTGCACTTTCTCAAGCTCGAGCAGATTCAAACCGGCACAGTTGGCCACGATGCAGACTACGCTGGTTGCGGCAGACGGTGCTTCAACGCGCGTGCACCATGCAACCCACTCGGGTGCATGACCCTTGGCTTGCGCCTGTAACTGGTCCTGAAAGCTCGGCTGCTGAAGACCCATCCGCAAAAGCCAGTCGGGCAGAGCAAGTTCACCCACAGTTTTCCCTTGGTCCGAGTCACCTGGTGATATGGGCAATGTTGGCACTGGCTGTACAGGGTGTGGCTGCATGAATAAAACACAAGAAATCACCATATTTCGATAGCATGAATACAGTGTGCAAAAGTGATTTAGTTGGTTGATCTACATGATGAGACGGGCCAAGAAGACAATAACTCAAGACAAACAATGACGCAGGGCAGGTGCCAAGACATCAGCACTTGCCCTCGTTATTCTCTGTTTTGTGTTTTGTGTAGCAGTCTTCTTGCACTGCGTTGGTTAAGCCGGCCTGTTGGTACATGCTAACACTTAGACTGTGTTATATACCATAGCATGAATACATACTGAACATGTGCACACACATATATATATATATATATATATATATATATATATATATATATATATATATATATATATATATACACACATATATATATATAGCTCACGGCTGGTTGTTTTTTCATCCACTTTTCTTTCTTCTTATTTACATTCCATTGGTTTTAATAACTTCCCTTTCCCTGTACATTCCTTGGCATTACTGTCTGTTAGATCTCATTAATATTGTGTCAAAACACGGAAAAACGAGCCCTCAGGTATACACTTCTTTCCCTTATATATATATATATATATATATATATATATATATATATATATATATATATATATATATATATATATGTATATATGTATATATATATATATATGTGTGTATATATATATATATATATATATGTATATATATATATATGCACACGTATCCTGGCCTCGGAACACTACTATGTCTATCTACATTCAGTTTCTTGAAGAAATGTACGAGTTTAATTTGTTTACACACTTAAAACTGCAATGATCTCAATCTCAATTTTTATGTACATGGTGCAGGCGCTAAGTTGTAGTAATGTGTAATTAGACTCATTACGAAGCCACCTGAACCTATCGCTCTTCTTAACAGGGCTGTTCTAATTGTGGGTGAGGATCAGACGACCCCATGCAAATGGAGAGATTGGAAAAGGCCATGAGGTACATGAACATAACATGGAGGCACCGTCATGATTAAATGTAGTCTTTAATCACTTGGCTCTATGCCTTGGACCTTCTTCGCAAGGTGGTTGCAAGCATGATTGACCAGCTGTTGAGAGGCACCAAAGTGCGCTCGACACCATCATGAGTATGTTTCCAAGAGTGCAAGTAGAAAACAGGACAAAATAAGGCTCAGCTCAATGTGGCAGTCATATACAGTAAAACCTTGGCAATGAAAACCTTACAGCGTCAACAAAATATTATATTGTTACGCTCAAGGAGGACCAGGACGTATACGGCTGAAGGGGCCGTTTATTTTGGTCGCGAAGAGAAGCGCCGGAGTGGCGAACAGGTTGATGATCGCAGTGTCATCGTCTTCCTTCTTTCTCTAGCTTGGGGCAGCCAGCATGTTCACCCATCTTCGTTTTCTTCCCAGGCATGCGCAACATTCCTCCCCTCGCAGACGAAGCCCGCCGGGCGAGGTAATTGATTCACCTTGGTGTATACAATTTCAGTCGAGCGACATGGACTGCTTGGGTTTTAGCGGCTCTTCTACCATTTCTCGTGAGGCGAGCTATTGTGTACGTCACTTCAGTGATTTTGTTGAGAACAACAAACGGTCCGTCATATGTGGCCAAGAACTTTTGGCATAACCCGCGTCTACGTACCGGAGTCCAGAGCCACACTAAGTCGCCTGGATGGTAAGTTACAGGCCAGTGGCGGACGTCGTAGCGTGCCTTCGATTTTCCTTGTGATGTCAAAGTGCGTAGCAAGCAATACGACGCGCCTCTTCTGCAAGGCAGAGGATTTCGGCGACTGAGAGGTTCTCGTGCGCCGAGAATGGCAAAACTGTGTCGAGTGTGTGCCGTGGCGGTCGTGCGTACATCAAGAAAAAGGGGCTATAGCCTGTTGTCTCGTGCTTAGCAGTGTTGAACGCATACGTTATAAATGGCAGCACGTCATCCCAGTTCTTGTGGTCGGATGCCACATACATAGAGAGCATGTTTACAATTGTTGGTTGGTGCGTTCCATGAGCGCATTTGTTTGCGGATGGTATGGCGACGAGTGACGAAGGCGGGACTCACTCGATCGAAGCAGCTCTTCTACTATATCAGCCGTAAATTGTCGTCCACGATCACTGATGATCACGTGAGATGGGCCATGTCGGAGGATAACGTGATGCAGCAGGAACACAGAGACGTCACTGGCAGTTGCGGTTGGTATGGCCGCCGTCTCGCAGTAGCGCGTGAGGTAATCAACGCATACAATTATCCAGCAATTGCCCTTAGCAGACTTTGAAAAAGGGCCCATGAGGTCAATGCCCACTTGTTGGAAAGGTGTGCTTGAAGGTGGCAAGGGCTGTAGAAGACCAGCTGGAGTAGTAGATGGGCGTTTGTGGCGTTGATACTGCATGCAGCTGGCCACATACACCTCGACTGGCTGTCGCATTTCTGGCCAAGACAAGCGTTCCTTAGCACGGTAAAGCGTCCGCGCAGAACCTAAATGTCCGGACGTAGGATCGTCGTGCATAGCACTTAAGATCGCTGTCCGAAGGGTTTCCAGCACTACCAGGAGGAAACGTGCGCCAGTGCTGGAAAAGTTCTTCTTATACAGGAGTCTGTTGCGTACACAGAAATGGCATGCCGTAGAAGCTGTGCAGAGCAATGATAGCCTGGTGTATTTTCGCTGTTCATCTTTGAAAGTGCTGAGGTCGGGAAACTTAGGTGACACAGAAGCTACGACGTGGTCGAGGTCATTGGTGTCAGACTCTGTAGTGCTCAGTGGCATGCGCGAAAGGCAATCTGCATTGGCGTGTCGTCGACCACTTTTGTACGAGACTATGAAGTTGTACTCTTGGAGCCGAAGTGCCCAGCGCGCTAGATGGCCGCAAGGGTCCCGAAGGTTGACGAGCCAACACAATGAGTGATGGTCGGTGACGACTGTAAAAGGGCGTCCATATAGGTAAGACCGAAACCGCTGAATCGCAAATACTACCGCGAGGTATTCTTGTTCTGTGACAGTGTAATTCTGCTCGGACCTACTCAAGGAGTAAATTGCATATGCGATCAAGTGCTCGTGGTTACCATAACGTTCAACTAGGATGGCACCAATCCTATGCCGCTGGCATCCATGTGCAGTTCTGTTGGAGCTGATGGGTTGAAGTGTTGAAGAACAGGCCGCGACATCAGGAGGAACTTCAGTTGACGAAAAAAGGAGTCGCACTCCGGATCCACTCGAAGGGAGTATTCTTCCGAAGCAAACATGTCAGCGGATACGCGACGTCGGCAAATTTAGGTATAAAGCGGCGAAAATAGGAGCAAAGCCCAAGAAAACTGCGGAGCTCCTTAACAAAGCGCGGCGCAGTGAGCATTTCAACGGCTGCTGTCTTTCTGGGGATCTGAACAGATGCCATCCTGATCGACTAGGTGTCCGAGAATAAGGGTTTGTCGGTCTCCGGTGGCATTTATTTGAGTTTAGAACAAGGCCAGCGTTTCTTATGCAAGTCAGTACAGTATGCAGACGTGAATTGTGTTCGCTGAAGGTTCTGCCAAAGATGACAACATCGTCGAGATAGCACATACAAATGCTCCGCTTCAAGCCACGAAGAACTGTGTCCACAAATCGCTCGAACGTCGCCGGTGCGTTGCACAGTCCAAATGGCATCACGTTGAATTCAAAAAGGCCATCAGGCGTTACAAAGGCTGTCTTTTCTTTATCTTCAGGATGCATGGGAATTTGCCAATAGCCTGATTTTAAGTCAACAGAGGAAAAGTAAGAAGCCGAATGTAGACAGTCTATGGTATCATCAATACGTGGAAGTGGATACACGTCTTTTTTTGTTACAGCATTCAATCGGCAATAATCGACGCAAGATCTCCAGGATCCGTCTTTCTTTTTAACGAGAATTACTGAAGCTGCCCATGGACTCGCCGACTCCTGAATGACTCCGTTTTGAATCGTTTCGTTCACCTGCTCATTAATAATCCGCCGCTCGGATGGCGAAACATGGTATGGCTTTTGTCTATTCGGATTAGCCAAACCAGTGTTGATCGTGTGACATGTCCGAGAAGCAGGGATTAAGGGCGTCTTGTCTTTCTGCGCAAAGTCGAATGCAGAAAAGTGCTTCGAAAGTACATTCACCAATGTCCAGCGTTCACTTGTGCTCAGCGACTTATTAACCATTGACAGAAGAGCCGTTTCCAAACTGTGACTGCGATGCTCTTCCGGTGCACCTCTAAGCTCGGTCACCAGTAAGGCCTCGTTTGGTCCACGGACGACGGCTAACTTTAGACCATTTGGCAACACCACGGGTTCTGTGGAGCAATTGACAGTCCATAAACCAACGCGTCCACGTCTGATCGACCCCACACAATGTGGGATCAACACATTATTTTTCATGCAGTTGGTGTACACTGGTTCTACGTTGGCATCAAAGTTGGCGGAATAGCTATCGGTGCAATCAACAGGAACACGAACAGTTGATAACGATGGTATGATGGTGTCGCCACAGACACACAACGTCTCACCATCCACAGGGTTTTCCAAGAGTGTTGGCGGAACGTGATCACTCAAGAATATTGTCCCTGTGCGGCAATGGACAGTTGCACCACACTCCCTCAAAAAGTCCATACGCAAAATAGCATCATGTGTCGCCTGTGGAATAATCATGAACTACGTTGGGATAACCTGGCCTCCGAGAAAAACGTCAGCTTGACATACACCAACAGGATGCAGTGGCTCACCACTCACTCCGCAAAACTTCGAAGCTTGGTTCCACTTAAATAAAACCTTCCGTCCTAAGGTATCTTTAAAACACGCACTCATGACAGAAATGGTTGCCCCTGTATCCACCAAAGCCATCACAGGCACATTGTCAACAAAAACACGTACTTTTTTTCTTGAGCATCAACACAGGAGGTCTTTCTGACATAAGCATGTCTCTGGCGACCTCACCTCCATCGGCCGTGCTTGCTAGTTTTCCTGTGGCAAAGGAGACATGTTGCGACGCAGGGGTGAAGGAGAACGGGGAACACGAGGCGGTA